AGAAGCACTACTTAGGCTCATCATGTGAGAAAACTGGAGGTGGCTGAAACACGAGCCATGCGGAGAGACGGCCAGCAGCGAGGTCCCACTAGCAAAGAGGATTGGATTCACTAGCAAAGCTGAATCAGGACGGCGGGTGTATCTTGAAGGAGAAGCTGGCACGATACATCCGCCAATTTTACTTTTATTTTTTTTTCCCAACCTTTTTGAGCAGTGAAGGGAAAAGAAACAAGAAAAAAAAAAACAGAACGTCGACAATCGATGGACTCGTTTTTTTTTGGTTTCTGTTTTTAACTATTGGTGTGACTCAGCGAATGAAGACTTGGGAGAACAGATTATTTAGATTTTTTCAATAGTTGTTGGTTGAAGAGCAATTTTTCTTTGGTTAACCTTCGATGAATTTAGACGTTGATCTAGGGGATTTTCATTTAAATAGCGAATAAAACTTCACAGGGGGGGGAGGGGGGGGAGGATAAGAAGATGCAGATGTAGCCCTTCTGTCTTTTCAGCGAGAAAGCGGTTCCCCTGGGAACGAAGTCCCCACTTGCAATGAGGATTCAATTTAGCGACTGAATCTGGACGTGTTTGTGAAAAGTGCATAAACTCGCAACTCGTTTGCTTTTCCGCATCTGTGCATAAAACACATCCAGATTCAGGCGCTTCATCCAATCCTCTCCTTGCTAGTTCATTAATGTCATTTGTGCCTTGGACACTGTATGCGTGTTTTTTTTTTTTTTCATTAATGTTATTTGTGCCTTGGATACGAGATCCTTTTTTTTTTTTTTTTGCAGTTCCATGGCTCGACCGTCTTCACCCGACTACAACGTACGGTCTGTATCTAGACTAAAAGTTGCCCCTAATACAGCTACAACGAACGCACGTACGTTGTATTCGAGTAAAGAGGGGTAGTAGAAGAAGAATACGGAATGAGATGAAAGAACATGGGATCAACCCAAATGCCAGAAGTGTAAAAAAAAAAAAAGCCAGAAGTGCCTGGCCCATCCCAAATGCCTGCAGACTTAAGATGTAAGGGACGCTCGG